GAACAAAGCACCACAGAGTGGCTTGTAAGAATGGAAATTCATTGTCTCATGATTCTGGAGGCTAGAAGTCCACATTCAGGTCAGCAGGGCCATGCTCTCTTTCGGAGCTTCAACCCAATTTAAACTGGTCATGGCCAACAAAATGAAATTGGAACAGATCCACATTTCTAAAATGTGGGTATGCCAGAGTGATAGATAACCAGAAAGGGAAACTGGGTCGGAACTGTGGGAGCTTCAGAAGAGGTGAAGTGAGCCCTTTTAGGAGCCTGATGTGGGAGACTGGATTATTGTCAGGACTGGGGAGAGTGACACACATTCAGAGGGGCACAGTTGGTCACCATTTTTGATCTGGGCACAATGGGCACTCAGCCTGTCAAGAGATTTAGTTGCTATGCAATGAACACACTGCCCTTGTTTTCTAAGAGGAAGATTAGTTTTCTTGGCAGGGTGTTGACCTGTAATTTTCCCATTCTGGTAATTGTTCCAGTACACCTAGTTTACAAATTCAGGTCAGCCCCAGTTTTGCTTCGTTGGCCACGACAGAACTGGGAAAAAAACAGTTCAAAGCCTTGCTCCCTCCAAAGGTTTCAGGGGAAGATCCTTTGTCTCTCCCAGTTTCTGGGCATTCTTTCACTTGCAGCTGCAGTGTGACTCCGTCTCTGCCTTCATTGTCACCTGGCCTCCTTCCCTCTGTTGTCTCTTTGCCCCTTTTACAGGACACTTTTCATATTATATTTAAAACTCAAAACTCACTGCCATCAAGTTACATCCAACTCATAGTGACCCCCATTGTATTTTCAAGGCTGTAAATCTATGGAAGATCACCCCATCATATTGGATTAGGGGCCCCCTATTCCACTGTGACTTCACGTTAACTGAAAATATCCTCAAAGACCCTATTTCACATTCACAGGTACTGAGGGTTCAGACTTACACATATCTTTGTGGGGGGCACAGTTCAATCCATAACATGCATCTAGGAGAATTTATGCAGAGAGTAAAATACTATAGATTTCCTTTGTTCAAGGAGGCAGTGAGGAAATGTATGAGGAGACAGTCCATCAGTAAATGTGAGAAGTGTTCCCTCTGGGTCAAATACTCCAGAAAGGGAGACCAAGCTGGTTTTCAAAGAGGCCGTGGCCTCTCAGAGGCTTTGTTCAGTGTTTTCTAAGCTCCACACATAGGCTGTTTCCCCAGGAAATTACATTTTCCCAACCCCATCTATGATGGCAAACAAAACCCAGGGGAGACTGGCTGTGCTAAGGCTGCCTCCTAATTCTGGGGTGAAGGCAGAGGAAAAGGGAGCTGAAGGTAGGAAAAGCAGGTCCGAGTCAGAGGACAGGAGTCATGAAGAGTTCATTTGACTCCTGTACTTGCAAATTCAGTCAAGATACATGTGAGACACCTATCAAGACAGCAGGGTGACATGGACAAAACGATGTTTATTGAATCCATTTTGGAGGCAGACAAAATGAGAAGGCTGTTGGCTCGTGACTCATTCAGAGTTTAGAATCATGACTGCTTCTTGTCATCAAACCTCAGTCACAGGAAAACTCTAGCATGAATAATGACATAAATCCTTGTCTCATAAAGGGAAGAAAAAGTAGTCAAAAATACTACAGCTTTCCCTCCTATAGTAGCTCTGATTGTTAAAATGCCCATAACCATCAACAAAAATTTGATTATGTGCAGTGTGAAATAATTTCTACACAAATACCAGGTGTGTACACAAAGGTCTAGTTGTAAACTGACTAACAGTCATCAGCAGTTAAGAATGCTGGGCCTATAGTGACACTCCCATTCTCAACTTCAGAGCTTATTCATTTAACTCATGACTGCTGTCCTCATCAGAGGCACCTGGGATATGGAAAAGGCATTTTTTAAAATAATAATAATAATTAACCTCATAAAACTAAAACCACAAACCAAGATGATGAATTACTTTGCCTGGATCAATAAATACTAGTCTCAAGTACTAAATACGCTAACAAGGACAGAAGCCATCAGTTAAAGAAATCATCATGTTGTTACCATTTGCTAATGCATATTAGTTAATTTTTTTACTTTATCCAGCACATACACAGATATTATTTTTTGTTTGTAATTCTCAGAACATTTCTTTTCCATCTTTCTCTCAGTGGAATCAAAATTAAACAACTTTTTAAACAAAATTTTCAAATTTCAAGCTATCAAAAGCACAATTCTCGCCATATTTCAGAACTTTACTCAGAAGGGAAATTCTGTGAAGGCTTCGATGTGCTTAGAAGGCCTTCTCCTCCCCTGTTGTCAGTTTAAATAGATCCTCTCCCTCCCTTTCCCCCTCTGGCCATACTGGATGCCAAGCTGGCTGCTTTCCAAAGACTAACAGGATCCCCCGAAGGTGCCAGGAGGGTCAGGGGGAGCCTTTGTTTTATCTGGAACTACTCTTAGTGGGGCCAAAAGGCCAGTCCCGAAGGATGACAGGGATTCCAGGTAAAGAAAAAGCCCCCAAACCCAGAGAGAATGGTGTGAAGGACATAGCACAGTACCAAAGCTGGCTGTCCCAAACAGCAGTCTGAGGCCCCACATTTTAGAAACTCCCAGGGACTTCTGGGCACCTCTTAAACACAAGGTATGAATATCCCTCCAGAAGGTCCTCCCCCCCACCCCACTCCCATCTCCTCCATCCCACCCCACTGTAAAGACGAGCGACACTCTGTTGGCTACATTCCTCTGCTCGGGAGGCAAGCTGAATCTGCTGCCCCGACAACAGCTTTTCCTATAAACCACAACCCTCACAAACACAGGCCATTCTGGATTTGAGATCAGCTCCTTCCAGAACTCTGCAGTCTATGAGCCCTGCCCTCCTCAGACTGCCCTACCCTGAACCACACTTCCAGTCTCCTTTCTCAGGGGGCAGCTGGTTTTTGAGTATGAGGACACACCTCACTGGAAATGAACAGTGCAAGGTTCGACGTGCAAATATTTGCAAACAATTTTTTTTTTTCCAAACTATACAAATTTTAAAAAATTCAAGTCAAATCCAGGAACAGACTAGGTGGTTGGTATCTGCCAACCCCTCATACCCACAATAGGAAAATAGTCAGTTTCTGAAATGAGAGCGGGACTGAGGCACCAACTACCCACCCAAGGTTCGTTCCTAGTTTGGGAGGAAGCCTGAGAGGGAGGTGCTAAAGTTTAATGCCAGGCAGAGCTGCTCCAGCCTCAATGCCTCCAGGGCCAAAAACCAAAGGCCTTTGTGTACGCAGCTTATAGGAGGGACCCTCACTCACCACCGGGCAACTCTCTCCCTGCACTTCTTAAACGGAAATAAGGAAGACACGTTCTAGAGACATGCGTGGTAAGGGCTGCACTCCACTTTCACTTAACACAAAAATAGGATAAAGGAGTTACCACTCTATCACCTCTTTTTTACCCACAAGCCTCTGAATCACAAGGAATTGAAAAGGGACTTCAAAAGCACATCCTTGCTGGTTTTATGGGTGATCCAGACAACCTCCCGCTACAGTCACATCAAGGGCAGTAGGAAGTATTGCTGGAAACATCAGATCATCCAATACCTGAGGGAAACCTCCACCCACACCCCTTGAGATAAGGGCAGTAGGAAGTATTGCTGGAAACATCAGATCATCCAATACCTGAGGGAAACCTCCACCCACACCCCTTGAGATGAGGCTCTGAGTCAGCCAGGTAACTAATGCTGGAAGTCAGAAGGTGAACACTAGACAACTGAGTTTTCTGTGACAGCTGGGTCTGTGTGATTTCGAAGAGGTGGTAGCCTCACAAAAATGAAAAATTTTATAACAGGCATTTCCTCTAGGACTGATCCAGACCAGGCCTGTTGCCTCAAAGAAAGAAGGCAGCATTGCCCAGAAGAAGACGCCCTTGGTCCATGGGGATGGAGCCATCCTCATTCTGGTTGCTAAGAAGGAGCTGGGACACCCTGGGCAGGGGGGCTGTTGGTTCAGCCGAGGGAAGCACAGTTCAGCTCATCTTCCTCCTGGCTGGTCCCCGCCACCTCCTCCAGTTCATCAGGGCCGTCGGTGATGTTGGGCTCACTGGAGCACTGCCGGTGAGGTGGGGAGAAGCTGGGTGGCAGGAGCAGGCACTTGTCCTCACTGCCGGCCTCCTCACCTAAGCCTGAGTGCATCATGGTGGCCATGGCCAGCAGCTGGATGTCCGAGTGGGCGTTGGCCACCGTGTGCCGCCGAACACTGCCGCACTTCTCTAGGTAGGCCTCCCCTTCTTGCTCTGTCAGTGGGGTCAGTGTCATCTCATTCAGTGGCCGGCTGACTGTGGTCATTGGGGAGCCATAGTTCAGAAGAGTCACTTTGGGCCGGACCCTGGAGTGCCGCCTGGCTACAGGAGAAAAACCAGAAAAGGCTGTCACTGCGGAGCGGGCAAAGAAGGAAAGCATACCCACTGCTGCTGAGTCAGTTGTGACTCATGGCCACCGATGTGTTACAGAGTAGAACTGCTCCATGAGGTTTGCTTAGTTGTAATCTTTACAGATGATCCCCAGGCCTCTCTCCCGCAGTGCCACTGGACAAGTTCGAAGTGCCAACTTTAGTAACTGAGGTGGGAACCCAACCCCATGGACAGCTGTAGGTGCAGCCTTGCTAAAATGCAAGTGATAGAAAAGCAGTAAACTGTCCATGGATGACATGATCCAACATAAAGAAAATCCCAGAGTCCACAAGAAAACTTCTAGAGCTAACAAAGCAATTTAGCAAACTCGCAAGGTACAAGGTTAACAAACAAAAGTCAGTGGGTTTCTATGCCCCAGTAATGAGAAATCTGAAAGGGAAATGAGGGAAACAATGCCATTTAAAATGTGAGAGAGGAATTTGGCTATGGCTAAAAGCTTCTCTTGCCACTTTACCTGCTTAAGCCAGATACTGTCTGTGACAGCTCTTCCTGCCCAGTATTAGGAGGTCAACAAAGGATGTGCCTTGAAAGGTTAGGTTCAGGGAAATCTCTGCTCTTTTCTCAGATGCTGTTTGAGCTTCACTGGATTTGCCCTAAATTCCCTTTCAACCAGTCCCCTCTGAAGACCAGCTACCAAAAGAAGCCCTCTGGATCCACTTGGGAGGCTGTGGCCTCTGCTGTGCCAATAGATGGAAATCAATGAGTCCTCCTGAGCCTAAATCCAGAGCAAGAGGTACTTGGATAGAGCTTCAGGGGTCAAGTCAGGGCAGCAGGCCACTTCTAAATCATCCTGAACCAAGACTACGGACACCCCATCTTCTCTAGCTGGGTCAGTGGTCTGAGGCCTGCATTTTGCACAAGTCAGCTCTTCTGGATTCAAACAACCTTTGGCACCATCCAAGAATGGACTAGGCTCCATGACGGCCCCATGGAGGCTGACACAAAGAGGGAGCCAATAGGAATTTTTATAAAACTGCTGATATTTTAGCCTTCACCATATTCCAGGGACTGAGCTCACCTTTGGTGTGTATTCATCTTTTAAATCCTCCTAAAAACAGAACTTACATCATGATATATTATTAGCTGCCACTGTACAGATGAGAAAAGTAGGAATCAGAGAGGTAATAACTTGCCCAAGGTCATATAGTTAATGTGGTAGAGCTGAGATTCCAACAGGGTCTGTCTCACTCCAGACCCTCATTCTTCCTGGGCTGCCCTTACAAAGTACACAGATAAGTATAATAGGCGATGTACCTCGCAGTAAGGACCAGCCATGTGCATGAAGTTCAAAGATAGGAGAAAACATCTCCATCTGAGAACAATCAGGAGACTTGCCAGGGAAGATGTACACTGCACACAGGCCTTCAGGGCAGCAGACCGCCCAGAGAGAGGCAGGGGGAACAGTGTTCTGAGCATGGAGTTATTGCAGTTACTTGTCATCAAATCAGCTACTGACTTGGGATGACCCCACGTGTGTCAGATTGTTCAGGAGGAGATTGCCAGGCCTTTCTTCTCAATCTCTTTTAATCTGGAAGATCTGCTGAAACCAGTCCAGCACCACGGCAGCATGCCAGTCTCCGCTGACGGCCTGGTGGTAGCCACCCATGAGGTGCACTGGCTGGAAACTAACCTGGATCTCCCGCAGGGGAGGCAAGAGTTCCACCACGGAACCATCACCGCCCTCTGAACATACATGAAACTCACTGCCATTGAGTCAAAGCCGACTCATAGCGACCCCTCCTTGGGTTTCCGAGGCGGTATCTCTACGGAAATAGATTGCCCAGTCTTCCTTCCGAGGAGTGGCTGGTGGGTTTGAACCACCAGCCTTCTGGTTAGCAGTCAAATGCCTTAGGCACTATGCTACCAGAGCTTGTATGAAAATAACAAAGAATAGAACCCTAACCCTAACCCATGAAATCACCATGTCTACTGGCTTGGAGCCCATAGGAGCTGTTTGACAGTAACAACAGTAGTTCTTCTAAAGCAAGTAATAATGGATAGAATCTAGAGTTTACTGAGTGTACTCCCACCTCCCGTCTCCCATCGCCCATCTCCCATCTCACTGCTTGGTTCCAATCTCCTTCTGAAATAGGTAGTGCTGGCCTTCTTATCCCTGTTGTACAGAGCAGGAAAACTAAGGCTCAGTCCTGGTGCTCTTAGGCACTAAATGGCAGGCTGACACTTTCCCCACCCACGCCTGCTGCTTCTCAGGGCACTGCCAGCTTACCCGCTGAGCTCAGATGACAGCAAAGACCATCCCCATGCAGGTGCCAGGCAAGAGGCTGTCCAGAAGTGAGTATTCTGCCTCCTCCCTCTTTGGGAAAAGGTGATTATGAGACAAACACCAAAGGGCCACAAAACAAGAGAGAATCTAGGGAGGCAAAGCAGAAATTGCCTCTGTAGCACGGACGCTTGCACCCCCAAGCGGCACACATTTCTAGTGTCCCATATTTCACAATAACTATGCGTTACTTTTATGGCCAGAAAAATCGATAACTATAAAAGAGAAGCACTGGAAGAGTTCAAAGAAGCAAGGACCCGATTAAAGGAACATCCTTTAAAAAAAAAAAAACTTGAAAAAAATTTATTTCTCTCATGCTGCTGTTAAAACCAAGTGCTTATGACTGGCTGTTGCAAAACCTGTGTTGAGGTCCAACCGTACAAGCAGCCTGGCAGGAGACCGGGAATCGAAGCCGGGTCTCCCACAGGGAAGGGGAGAATTTGACCGTGGAACCACCACTGCCCCTTACATGCTATGCATTGTACCCAAAAGAAGGTGCTTCATAGACATGATTCCACTCATAATTTAAAAAGAAAAGCAACTATTGTGAAGTAGCCAGTAGCGTTCTGCCCCTTTCGTAGAAGGGGAACCTGAAGCTGTGATGTTAGATAACGCTATGGTTACAGCAGTAAGTGATGGAGGCAGGACCCAAGCTGAGGGCTGACAGAGAGACCCTGCTCATTACCACTAGATGGCTCGCACACAAATGACTCTGTGTAGTCAGAGGGGGTCAAGGTCTGGACAGAGGTAGGGGTGAGAGCACTCTGGGGACTCAGAGCAGGACAAGTATGAAGAAGTAGCATTTTGGATAGGTTATGCACCCTGGAGAGTGCCAGGTGGGGAGACTCTACCTAACCTGCTATGCATGCATTCATTCATTCACTCACTCACTCACTCACTCACAGGAGAGCTCTATGCTAGGCCTTGTGGTACAGAGAGGAGCAACATGGTCCCTGCCCTCAAAGAGCTCACAGTCTAAGGAGGAGACAGACACATAACCAGGCCACGGCAGCACAGCATGGTGAGTGCCAGGATGTGGTCTGGGGTATGGAGGAAGAGGAGGGACACATATAACTCCCTGTCTGGAGTGATTCTCCAGGTGGGGCCCTGAGAATAGCAGGTGGTGGTCTACCTGGCTCTGTTCCGAGACTGGCAGCTTTCACTAAATGAAGGACAGGGCCTCTGTGCACCTCTGTGGCTCTGAGAAGTTCCAGGCCACAAAGCGGAAGCCCAGTTCTTGTGGTTTTAAAGGCCCCGCTCTTTCTATGGCTGCCTCCGCCTATCTCCTTTGGGCTGCTCCATAGCCGGTGACTCATGGGACAGACCAACAAGCTCTTCCTTCTGCTTTCTGGGTAGAATGTTTTGGTTCCCAAGCCTGGGTGTAGGCTAAGCTGCGACCACAGGGGCCGCACGACTATGTCTGTCCAGTCCCTTGGGCAGACAGTGTTTCCTTGCTAAGCTCCCACCAGACTTCAGAGCCAACCCTCAGGCAAGTGTGTCAGCTATATCTCCATCCACTGCAGTCAGCCCCTGCTAGGCCTCTTGGGAGTCCCAAAGGATTTCAAACCCAACTGCTAGGCTACCCACACTGTTGCTTCTAGCTTTCTTCCCCTCCTTTATCTTCTCTGCCTGGGAGGGCCGGGACTACCCCCGGGGGAGATAATCTTTTAATATGGGAGGGATGGATGCCCCCCAGGGCCTGAACACAGGTCCTTCCCTGCAGCAGCGCCCTTTCAGCAGGAAGAGGGCTGGGTCCTTCCACCTCTCCTCTGACATCTCCCCACCTCCAGGCCACCTCCTCCTCCTCCAGGCCTTTCTCACGGGGTGGGGCCAGGGGAAGTCTTTATTCCTTCCTTACTCACCAAGCACCCTGCTGAGCACTGGCACTTTTCCCCCTGCTACGGAGCCAAACCTTGTCAGCTCCTTTCAAACCCCCAAAGAGGAGCAAAGCCTGGACGAAGTTGCTCAGGTCCTTTGTTGGGAACTTGGTTCCCAGGCCTTTGATCTCCCAGGCTCACGGGCCTGGCCCCACTGGAGCAGCCACATAATGCAGCCATTATGACCCACAGGCACACCAAGCCTATTGTGGGTGCCCCTCTCCAGGCCCGGGTACCTGAATGCTGATGAATGCCTCCTTGTCACACCGAGGGGTTACAGGGTTACAGTATCCGTGCAATGGCACTTGTGTGCAGGAGGAAGGGCCCTCCTCCAGAGACACAACGGAGAGGGGCATGTGTGGGGCCAGGGCTTTTGTGTGGGAGAGATCAAGCATGCAGTGTTAAGGAGGCAGGGCCCTGTCATCAGCCACCACAGCAGCTTGGAAACTTCCCGAACTAGGAAGGTAGGGTGAGAGCTGGCCTCTGGAGATTCTGCCCACTCCCCTTTATTTTTTTTAAAAGATTTCACTATTTTCCTCCCCTCCACACTCTCAATTACCCTAGAAAAGCAATCGTTTTATTTTTCAGGAATGGGCACATTGTGTGTGTGTGCACATGCACACACATACACTCTATTCTAAGCCTCAAACTCATCTTTTCTATTTGAAGCAGATCCAAAGGGGGAGGCTTGCTTCTTAAACCCTGCAGCCTGGCTGGCAGGAAGAGAGATTTCCCATGAGCCTCCATGGGGCCAAACATGCCTGGGCACTTGGGTGTGGTGAGTAACGCCCCCTAGAGAGTCCCTGGGTAGTGCAAGCACTTAATGCACTTGGTTGCAAAACAAGGGGTTAGAGGTTTGAGTCCACCCAGAAGTGCCTTGCAAGGCAGAAGTGCCTTGCAAGGGTTGGCAATCTACCTTTGCAAAACCACCCATTAAAAAAGTCTGTGGACCAGAGTTCCACTCTGACACACAAGAGCTGTCATGAGGCAGAATCGACTCAAGACAACTGGTTTCTGTTTTTCTTTTCTGATTCTGGTCACCTACCCCCGTGTATGACCCCATAGGAACATTTTCTAACAATTCTGGGTCTGAGGTAACAACAGCACCCAGCCCTCAGCAGGCTGTGCGAAAATGAAATGAACACATGCCAAGAACCTGGTTAGTACCTGGAATGTGACAGGCATTTGATAAGGGATGGCTTTTGAGGTGACTTTCCCACTGTCCTTGAGTACCTCTACCCAACTAAGGCCAAGAGAATCATGGAAAAGCCCTCTCCCACATACAGGGATTTCTCACATCCAACACATTGCCTTATTTTTTTCCTTCAGCCAGTCATCTCAACTTCCCCTCCCTTGTGCAGGATAAACATCATTGTCCCCATTTTGCTGAAGGGAAGACTGAATCCCAGAGAATCCTCTCTCTATCTGGAATGACGTGTCCTCAGTGAGGAAGGGTGCTGTAGTGGTCATGTTAGGTTTCTGGTATCCAAGTGGGGGATGAAGTGCCTGGCCTGGGACACCTCATGGGCTAAGGAACAGAAGGGGAAGGACTATCTCCTTACCTGTCCCCAACAAAGCACCTCTGTGGGGTGGGGTTAAGGTAGGGCATGTGGGGCAGCTGGCAAGGTGTAAACAGTTTGGGGCTTTGGAATTTGGGTCCCAATACCCATGTGACCACAATCCTCATTTGCCTCACCTGTGAAATGGGAACAATAGTGCCTGCTCTGTGGTGTGGCAGCCAGCCCACCCTGTACAGTGCCCAGGGCATGGTCTGTGTCTAGGGCCTCCCCTTGCCATCAACCACTTTGCACTTACTGCTCTAGCACTCCTAAGCTCTTTCAGTTCCTCAAATGCTCCACCCTCTAGTGCCCCCCTCCCCCTCCCCAGCCCTCCTACAGGTCCTTCCCTTTGCCTGGGATAGTCTTCCCTCTGTCTATTCAGCTAACTTGTATTCATCCTTGACGTACCGTAACAATTGTCACTTCCTCTGGGGAGTTTTCCCTGATTTCCTGGTCCAGGCAAAATCTCCCTGCCACAGGCTCTGTGGCCCTGTACTCCCCCCATTTGTGTACTGATGAGTCATTGTGTATTGTTTGACTTCCCCACTGGACAGGGCAGCGATGGGTCTGTTTGTTCCCTGATAAATCTCCAGCACCTCACAAGGTACCTGGAACAGGGTCTCCACAAACATCTGTTGAGATATTCATCATCAAAAAAATAATCAAGGGGGCCTTGTCCCACCCTTTCTCCCCTTCCTGAGACAACTCCCAGAGACAGGGTTTGTTCTTGGTCCAAGAATAAAACCTAAGACCTTTGCTTTGTAGTTTGACAAAAGTATGTTATTCTTATTTTAGCTGGAGAGCCAGGAGAAGGTACCCCCTCTGATACAGATTGAATTATGTCACCCAAAATATGTGTTGGGACCCAAACCCCTATGGTTGTAGCTGTAATCTCATGTAATGTGATACAGATCACTTCCTATATCCTCTACTATAATGTGATCACTTTCCATAATACAATGTAATGTAATATGAGAAATCAGTCCCTTGAGGTCATACCAGTGAAGGGTGGACCCTATACTTAATCACTTCTGACTTACATAAAAAGCAGCAGGAAGACAGATACCATATGAGGATCACCAACGAACTAAGGAACACTCGACGCTAGAGACCAGGAAGGAACTGAAATGGCTAAGACCCTAATTTAGAATTTTAGCCTCCAAAACTGAGAAAATGCCTGCTCTTTAAAGCCATTCACTTGTAGTATTTGTTACAACAGCAGCAGGAAACAAAGACATCCTCCTCAAGTGACTCCTCACTGAAGAGACTTCCAAGTTGACTCTTGTTCCTGGCATTAGGTCCAGATGGTGGTGGGGATGTCCCTGTCACAGCCCAGCTAACCTACCAGTGTCCCAAATCTGCTGGGACCCTCCCTCTCCAACCTAGGCAAGCGGAGCCAGTTGGGTGGGCTGAAGCAAGAAAATGGGTTCCAGGAGGGCCTTGGCAACACTTGTGTTGTTGTGCCCCCTCCGTTCCCCTCAGGGCTGGGGAGGGCAGGCAACCATTTTCCTACAGCTGCTGTTTCAACTCCAGCTTGTCCCAGCTCTGGGAGGAATAAGTTAGTGAGCAAGAGAGGGAGGGAGCAGAATCTGGCAAGCAGCGGGCTAGGGCCAGCACCTCTGACGTGTGGTGGCTGTGGTGAGACCAGTGTCTCCAGTTGACATGAACGAGGCAGTGAAAACTGGCAGCCTGCCCTGCCTTTCTCTGCAGTAGAGAGGCCCGAGGAAGGGGCAGGAACCTCACTGCAGGCTACTCCTTTCCCCTGTCTTTGAAAAGGGACTAACTATAGTTTCCAAACTTGAGTAATCCATCTCCACTTCTGTACCTCTCTATGGTGCTGGTTTCCCTGCCTTCCTGCAACCATCTCAAATATTTGGGTGCCTACTAGACGGCACATAACAGCAACAACAACAACTGTGTGCCAAGCACCATTTCAGCTGTGGAGATAGAATGATGAACATAAAATTCCTGCAAGTTAGGGGCCTACATTTCAGAACATAATCGAGGAAAGCTTTATATTATCAGCCTTGTTATCTGGCTTTCTCCCCATAGTGTTATGGATTGAGCGATGTCCCCCTAAAATATATGTTGAAGTCCTAATCCCCAGTACCTGTGAATGTAACCTTTTTGGGAAACAGGATCTCTGAAGATGTTGTAAGTTAAGTTAGCAGGACATCATACTGGAGCAGAATGGGTCCTAATCCAACACGAGAAGAAAAGAAACCAACAAAACCCATTGCCATCAAATTGGTTCCATCTCATCACAACCCTTTAGGACAGAGTAGAACTGCCCCATAGAGTTTCCAAGGCTGTAAAGTCTTTACAAATGCAGACTACCCCATCTTTCTCCTGTGGAGTGGCCGGTGGGTTTAAACTGCCAACCTTTTAGCAGCCCAATGTTTAAACCACAGCACCACCAGGACTCCTTCCAAAATGAGAGCTGTCCTATAAAAGAGAAGAAGAGCTACAGAGGCAGGGAGACATGGAAGGAAGACAGCCATGTGAAGACAGAAGCAGGGATGTGGAGTAATACATCTACAAGCCAAGGAACACCAAGAGTCTCTAGCCAACACCAGAAGCTAGGAGAGAGGCCTGGCACAGATTCTCCCTCAGAGCCCTGAGAAGGAATCAACACAGAAGCTGTTCCTAACGTCCAGCTTTCAGAACTGTGAGACAATATACTTCTATTCTTAACTATAACAAGTTCTTGACCCTTTGTTGCGGTGGTCATAGGAAACCAAGGTACCCATCTCGACTGTGATCTCACTGAGAGAAGGAACAGATGTGATTCACTGCTAGATTCTCCAGGGAGCCTACTACAGGGCCTGGCACTAACACTAGCTTTATCGTTACTGAGGAAAACCCCAACAAGATTTGTCCCCAAAGCCAGGAGCTCCTTTCCTTCTTGCCAAGGCCCTGGCAGAACCTATAGAAATGGAGGAGGGACCGCAGGGATAGGTTTTCCACTCAACTGGTGGGGAGAGGGTGGTTGCAGTCAAGGCCGTTTCTAGTACTAGGTACAGGAAAATGAACTCCCAGGCACACGAAAAAGATCAAAGCCGCTGCTCAAGGATACAACTCAGACAGGCACCACCAGAGGCACAGTTTGGGTCCTTGGGAGGACACAGGCAGAACTGTGAGTGATAAAATGCACACATTTGGAACAGACTCACATCAGAAGCAAAGGGCTCGCACATAGCTTGTGGTCAGTCAATCGTACAAAGCTGGCATCATTATCTGGAAAGCTCCTGGCAACTTTAGAGCAGTGCCCCTTACCTAGCGTGTATGTGAGGCCTGAGAAGCCACGGTCCTCGCTGAGGCCAAGGAAAGGAGAAACCACTTGCTTCACCAGCTCCTCCAGCTGCAAATAACTCTCACTTGGGCCTGTGGGCTCATGAACACTCTAGAAAAGAGCATCCAAAATAGACAAAGGTCAGTCAAACTCTCCTTGGCCAGCCTGGCAATTAGTCAACAAATCCTGTTTATCCTCCTCCTATGTAAGGGTGGGGGAGCTCTGGTAGCATAGTGCCTAAGGCACTTGACTGCTACCCAGAAGGCTGGTGGCTCAAACCCACCAGCCACTCCTCAGATGGAAGGTTGGGCAATCTACTTCCGTAGTAATACTGCCTCGGAAACCCAAGAAGGGGTCACTACTCCACGGCACATAACAACAACAACAACGACATATATAGGTGGAGTCCCTGGGTGGGATAAACAGGTAACATGCTTGGCTGCTAACCAACAGATTGGAGGTTCCACTCCATCCAGAGGGGCCTTGGAAAAGAGGCCTGGTATTCTACATCCCAAAACCAGCTATTGAAACCCTATGGAGTAGCATTCTACTCTGACACACACCAACTCACCATGAGTTGGAACTGACTCAACAATAACTGGTTTTGATGTATTTTACGTGTCTGGCACAGAGGTCTGCAGGTGGTAGGTGCTCCTCATTACCCACAGAGGCCTTCCTACAGGACCATCAGCAGGTGATAGCCCTCACCTGAAGGGCTGGATCAATTTCCCTTCCAAACACACACCCCAAAGGAATCACCTCTCATACCCAAAATAGTATAAATGGGAGTGTGGAAGTCCAGTCTTCCTTTCCTAACCTTCCTATCATAACCCCAAAGAGGTCCTTTTCTAGACTCTTAAATTTGAGATCTACGCTCTAATTTATGCCTGACGCAAGCTGCACACATCTTTCAATTCTACCCTCTTTCGCTTTCTTTTCCATAAAATACTTGACCTGGCATTTCAGTCCAGGACACCTACCCTCATCTATTAGACAAAGCTTCCTCCTCCCCTTCCTCCTCTGTGACCACAGGGAAGGAATGTCCAGCACAATGGCTGAGCTTAGAGAACCAGAAGAGAGCAAAGCAGCTGGGGTGGGGTCAGAGCCCCACGCCTGACATTCCATCCCAGCAGGGAGCCTGAGTATGGATAAACCTTCCTTGAGAAAGGGCTCAGAGCTGATGCCACAACGTTGTTACAGGTGGGAGCTGAGTTGGGGGAAACTATTTTTTGAGGGGTCTCTCTAGTCCACAGCCCTATTCTTTGAGAACTGTGTACTCCCACCCATCACTGAGGTTATGTTCATAATACTTGATCCCACTCAAGGTCATAGCTGACTGGACAAAGGGGAGTGGTCTACTCTAAGCTGGGAGGAAGTAGAATGTTCTCTATCACTTACTAGCTGAGAGACCTTGGTGAGCCCCTAAACTTCTAGGTTTCAGTATCCTCATCTGTAAAATGGGAATAACAGCAATGCCCACTTCATAAAGTGGTAGTTTGGATTATCTGATTAATAAGACAATACACTTGAAGTCCTTGGATTGTATATGCCAGGAAACAATAAATGTTCCTACAATTCTTACTATTGATTTAGAATTGGGATTGAGAGACACTAGCCAAGCATCCAGGTAGTCTCTACGTGCAAAAGATGTGAACACATGACCTGTGGGATGCTCCATTAAGTCAAGCATAAACTAAAGCACTGAACGTAATCCTATAGAGAAAGAGAGACCAGGCAACATCAGGAGAGACAGCAACAGAAGGAAACAAGGCAGATAGATACAAGTAAAGCCCAATATATAGAGAAAGGCTGGTGGTTTTGCTGCCCGACATGGTCTTGTTTCTGGCTGCAGTCCCTCATGAAGCCCATCTGCCATGGCAACTTTCCAATGACTTCCTGTTCTGCTTTCAACTAGACATAAGTGGGTTTTTGTTGTTGTTGTTGTTGTTTCTTGTATCTTATTCCCCCCACCCCGACATAACTGGAGAGAAGGGTGTCCATTTCCTGAGTGACAGGACTATGCTTCCTTCATATTCCACTGTGATCTCAGCACCAAGCACAACACCAAGGCCTATAGGAAACTCAGAGCATATACATCAAATGAACAAATGAACCAAGGAACACAGACTAATAAACTAAAGAATACCAAACTAAGCAAAGGTGGTTCCAGCACTCTTGTCAATTTGTCTCTTCCCACTCAGCCCACAGTGGCAGTGCCCTTCCTCCTTTGGCCCTGGGACCACATATGGGGCCACATTCAAGCCAGAGTCTCACCTGCAGGATGAGTAGCATCTGGACAATGGATGAGGGTAGCCTGGACTGGACCAGTGGCAGCAAATCACCCAGCCTCACCTTCAGCAGGACTAGATCTCGGAAGCCCAGCAGGGAGATCTGGCGGATGGTCAGCTCCTGGCCCTGGAAGGGGAGAAGTGGGAGGGTTGGGAGGTGAGAGATTGCTGGACCTGTCACCAACCCTACAGGGTTCAGGACAATGAATGTTTACAGTGCATCCAGGACAAACCCTCTGCGGAACCCAGTGGGCTGTCAGAGAGTAGAAGACCGAGCCCCTGTCCTCTGGGATGTAAGTTTATTTTAAGACCAAGTGTGACTTAACTTTCCTAAATGACCAAAAGATAATACAAGACACAATATGGGTCATGGTGTGCTGAGTGAAAAGGAAGGAGAGAGAGGAAGACGGGGAGAAAGGACAGAGCAGATGGCCACCAGTGCCTCACGTTCAAGGCACTTCTCAATTTCACTCATTAAATATTTGAGCTCCGGTGGTGCAGTGCCTAAGGCATTTGACTGCTAACTAGAAGGTTGGTGGTTCAAACCCATCAGCCACTCCACAGAAGGAAGACGAGGCAGTCTACTTTACTATAATTTAAATGGCATTAAATTATGCCATTTACTGCTTTGGAAACCCAATGGAGGTCGTAGTGAGATGGAATCGACTTGATGGCAGTAGGTTTGGTTTTTGATTTTTATCATGTACCAGAGGAAAGAGGAAAATATCACACCTGTTAAATATTGAGCAAGTAGAAGAAAAGGAACCTACTCAACTGTGGAGGCAGGACAGAGGATGAAAATAGTAACTAATAATCATATGAGTTAATATTAAGCTGTGACTATATGCCAGGCATATTCTAAATAGTTGAGATGTTAAATACACATTTAGTCCCTACTTCTACCCTTTGAGATACATACTATCATGAAAACCATTTTGCAGAGGAAGGAACTCTAATTACAAGGCTCAGAGATTAAAGCAATTTACCCAAGGTGGAGCTGACTTCCAAACCCAAACAATTTGATTCTAGAGGTCCCAAACCACCCTAGAACATTGAGGGAAAGGAGGACTCATTGCCCAGACTACCCTTTGCACACACATGTACCACACAAAGGAGCCATGGTGGCACAGTGGTTAAAGCATTCGGCTGCTAACCAAAAGGTCAGAGGTTTGAACCCATTAGCCATTCTGCAGGAGTAAGATGAGGCAGTCTGCTTCTGTAAAGATTTACAGTCTTAGAAACTCTATGCGGCAGGTCTACTCTGTCCTACAGTGATGCTATAGTCAGAACTGACTTGGTACCAATGGGTTTGGTTTTGATTTTATATAACACACAACAAAAATCAGTTGCCCTTGATGAGGACAAAAATATCTTTAGGATATCCTCCCAAACAAGACTTAGCTTCCCATCCCCCAAGTCTGCCAAGGTTTAAGGAAGGTTTATATTTCCTATAACTCCTCAGGGTTTTATTAAAAACACAGGCAAGACACGAACCATGGCCTCATCTACCCTGAGACCAGAAGAACTAGATGGTTTCCAGCTATCATAACTGGCCATTCCGATCAGGCCACAATAGATGGATCCTGGTAGAACGAGAGAACAATGTGGAACAGAACCTCAAATTCTTAAAAAATCTAGACTTACTGTGGTTGAGACTAGGGGAGTCCCTAAAAATACCACCCTGAGATGCTCTTTAACCGTGCACCAAAACAAACCTGAAGTCAGTCACCTTTTAACTAAATAGCAGATTGGCATACAAAATGAAGAATATCATCCATAAGTACTACATTCCCCTAAAAACTCATCTATATGAGACCAAATGGTCAACAATTACTTTAAAACAAAGATGAGAAGGTAAGGGGACAGGAAAACTATATTAATGGAAATGTGTATAACAAGTAGAATAGAAATAATACAATGTCCATGCACTGTGAAGAATACAACCAATGTCACTGAACAATTTGTATAGAAATTGTTGAATGGGAAACTAAACTGCTATATAAACCTTCACTGAAAACAAGAAAATATCATTTAAAAAATAATTAAGCTAGCAACCAAACAGAAAGAAAGAAAAACACAGGTAACAATAGTTGCCACCTCTGCATCCCTACCAGCCCCACTCCCAGCAGACACACAACCATCACTCATGCTTTATAGGCTCAGTGTAACCACTCCCTCTTCACTGCCTTCCCTGGTACCCTCAATGGCATTGATCTGTACCACTTTTCATTTTCAAGGTCCTATAATTTCTATTTTCTCCACCACATCCCAGCACTCGGCATCGACTGCCTTGTCTCATAGCTGTCTATACTCCTGCTTTGTTTCCAGGGCTCCTTTCACTTCACCCAGACAGAAACTGAAGCCAAAGTTCCACCTCCTTGAATACAGTTGTTGTTGTTGTTGCGTGCTGTCAATTCTGACTGACAGAGACATTATATGACAGAATAGAAATGCCCCATAGGGTTCCCAGGCTGTAATCTTTTACGGGTCAGTAGAAAAGAGGAAGATCTTCATCAAGATGGACTGACACAGCGCCTGCAATAACAGGCGCAAACACAGCAACAACTGTGAGGATAGTGCAGGACCGCCCAGAGTTTCACTCTGTCGTACACAGAGGTGTTATGAGTCGGAACTGATTCAATGGCACCTAACAAAAATAATCTCTAAGAGAGCAGATCACTAGGTCTTTTCTTCCACGGAGCTGGAACAACAACAACAGGTGAGAACTAGGATGGGCCCCTGTGATCCTGTTCATGCTCTTTGGTACTATATGATACTGGAAGCTGTTAAACCAAAACACCAGACCTGCTCCCACTGACTTGGTTCCAAGTCATGGTGACCCCCCGTGTTACACAGAACTGATCCATAGGGTTTTCTTGGCTGTAATCTTTACAGAAACAGATTGTCAGGCCTCTCTTCCACAGAACCACTGCATGGGTTTGAACTGTCAACCTTTAGGTTAGTAGTTCAGTGCAAGCCATTTGTGCCAGGGACTTACCCAATTTTCGCTCAATAGCAAACAAAAGTAAAGTGATATAAAAATAGAAATGTTTGTTTTGAACTATAGGAGGTAAGGAAAGAGAAAAAGGAATACTGGAGCATACAAACTTGAAAAAACTTCTCCTGAACAGCCATTTTGGTGTTAATGGAATGTTCCAATTCTAGGACCATCTACCCCAACAACTGTTAGGTCACTTCACAGAACTGACTTTCCAAAAACCCTCGACAAGGACATCAAGGCATCTAGAGGGACTTTCCTTTCTCCAGCACTGCACTTCAGACAGAGGCAATGTTAGCTGGCTTGCACTTTTGTTTTTTAAATCATAAGGAAAATGATTTTCATAGGAAGAGAGTAAAACAGTTCAGAAGAAGAGTTTGACATGAACAGTTGGCGTCATCTTCCCCTAATTTCTTATTCTCCCTCCATGGGGATAACCACTCTATTATTATTATTTTTTTTTCTTTTTACCAGTTGGGTAAATATTTTTATTTTGTTTTTGTTTTTGCCAAAGCAGTATTTTTCAAGGGTGCAATTTAATGATATCAATTACATTACTCTGTTGTACAACTACCACCCATAATCACTGCCACATTTTCCATCACCATGGACAACTCACTGCTTCCCAAGCAACGGCTCTCTTTCCCCCCTCCCTCCCACTCCTAGTAACAACTAATAAACTTTAGTCTCTATACAGTTGCCTATTCTTGTTATTACATTTAAGTGAGATCATACAGTATTTGTCCTTTTGTGATTGTTTCATTTCACTTAGCATAAAGCTTTTTGAGGTTCATTCACACTGTAGCAAGAATCAGGATTTCATTTCTCTTTATGGCTGAGTAGTACTTCCTTAGGAGCTCTGGTAGCATAGTACCTAAGGCATTTGATTGCTAACCAGAAGGCTGACGGTTCAAACCCACCAGCCACTCCTCAGAAGGAAGACTGGGCAATCTACTTCCTTAGTGATACCGCCTAAGAAACCCAAGGAGGGGTCGCTGTGAGTCAGAACTGACTCGAGGGCAGTAAGTTTGGTTTGTTTTATTTTGGTTTTAGTATTCCATTGTATGTATGTACCACCTTTAGTTTATCTATTCATCTGTTGATGGATACTTAGGTTGTTTCCACCTTATGGCTACTGTGAATATTGCTGCAGTGAACATTGGTGTGCCTGTGTCTGTTTGCTTTGCTGCTTTCAGGTCTCTTGGGTATACATGTAGGAGTGGATATGCTGGGTCATATGGTCGTTCCACATTTAACTTTTTGAGGAAATGCCAAAATGTTTTTCACAGAGTCTGTACCATTTTGCATTTCCACCAGCAATGGTTAAGGGTTCCAATTTCTCCATATCCTAGTCAATAATTATTTTCTGTTTTGTTTTTAAATCTTAGCCAACCTAGTGGGAATGAAGTGATATCTCACTGTGGTTTTGATTTGCATATCAGTAATGGCTAATGGGGATCTCTGGTGGTGTACTGCCTAAGGCATTTGATTGCTAACTAGAAGGCTGGAGGTTCAAACCCACCAGCCACTCTTCAGAAGGAAGACTGGGCAATCTACTTCCATAGAGATAACACCTGAAGGAGAGGTCACTATGAGTCAGGTCCAACTTGACAGCAGTGAGTAAGAGCTAATAATGTTGAGCATTTTTTCATGGGTTCATTGGCCATTGGAACAGGGAACTGCTCTTAACAGGTTTTGATTCATATCTGGATTCTTCCTGAAAGTTTTTACATTCATAAAATCACTATAACCCCTTTAAACACGCATAGAGACTACATTGTCTACTGCTTTGCACCTTGCTCTCGTTTAACTTACTCTATTGGGTATTGTTTCATACCAGCACATACTCATCTGCCTCACTGTTCTTTAAGGCTGCAAGGATGCAATATGAACACATTCTGCTTTACTTAACCAACTTTCTCTTGACCAAGGTGCCTCCATTTGTTTCCCCTATAATGCTGTAATAAACATTTTCTTCCCCGTCTCTCTGAGCATTTTTAGCCATGCATCCAGATGATACTCCCTCAAAGCAAAACCGCTGGATCGCAGTATGCTTCTAAAAAGTCTTACAGATACTACCACGTTGTCCTCTGAAAAGTAGAGTGAGAGAGCCTATTTCTTCATATCTACTGAGTGGATGCTTTTTTAGGTAGTAAGATTCAGAAAATGCAGGCCATACCTCTGCTTAGGCAATATCAAGGTGCTATCCCAGTGCTCCCATTGTGTGATACCAAACATATGGCTACCACTCAAGAGCCACCCATTCCAAATCCATCTGCTTAGGCCATAACATGTGGAAAAACACATGGAAATAATTGGGTCATTAGCTGGGATTTCAACACCCTTTTATTGAACAGGGAATAATAGTGATGTTGTTGATGACAGCAACTATTTTTAAACACTGTGTCAAGTGCTACCCGAAGCACTTTTCCTCTATTACCTAATTTAATCTTAATGCCCCTGCGAAGTAAGTATTATTATTCTACAGAAGAAAAGGAGGCTCAGAGAGGTACGGTTACCTTCCCAAGGCTACCAAGGGAGTCACTGGTAGTTCAGTGGCAGAATTCCCGCCTTCCATGCAGGAAGCCCGGGTTTGATTCCCGGGTGCACCTTGTGTGCAGCCACCAACGTCAACGGAACGTGGGTGCATCTATGATGCTAACAGGTTTCAGCGGAGCTTCTAGACTAAGACAGGCTAGGAGAAAAAGCCTCGTGACCTGCTCCTGAAAATCAGACAATGAAAATCTTATGGACCACAATGATCCCATGGGGAGGGCATGCAACCAGGCAGTCAACAACACAGAGTGAGGGCTTGAACCCAAGTCCACCTAACTCAGAGGCTCATGCTCTAAACCACTTTCTTCTTCTTTTTAAAAATATTTTATTGTGTTTTTGGTGAAAGTTTACATAGCAAATTATGTTCCCATTCAACAATTTATAAACAAATTGTTCAGTGGCAATTGTTACATTCTTCACTTCATAATGCACCAACGTTCTCATTATTTACATTTTGGTTGTTCCATTTCCAGTTATCTCATTTCTCTGCTCTGTTACATTCTCATCTTTGCTATAAAGCAGTTGTTGACCATTAGGTCCCATATAGATGATCACTCTGTTCTGGGGACAATCCGGTCCCTTTTCCCCCTCCTCCCCCAGGTTGCCCTGCTGCCATCTCGCCTTCGTGTGAAATACCAGCAGTCATTTGGACATAGACAAGGCACGGGCAGTGAAAGTATTTGCCCTGGAGAAGATAAAAGATTTTGCCTTTGTGATTTCCCAGCCCAACATTAAATATTACATGCACATGAGAAAAGCCTAGATTTACAAGCAACTAGAGGGGCATGTTCAACCTGGTGTCTCATGTGTTTAAGGGCAAACCTGACTCAGGCCCAGGGCAGCAAGTGGTACAACCATTTACGTAAGATCCAATGTCACACATCGTTAATCCTACCTGGCACAGGGTTTTATCTTGAGAACCTCTCGATTGTCCCCAAAGTCATAAAGACCTGCTCTCCCATGTTGGCAGGAAGTAGTTTTATGGGAAGGTATGGGGCACCCAAGTTACATCAGCCTGCTGTATAAACAAGTGAATTGTTCCTTTCTGAGAGGACTATTTGGGGCTATTAACCAGGGCACTGACTTGTCACCAGTCCTAGGCACTGCTTCAGCCCACAATGGATCAGAAAAGGAATGAATACTAATCTAGAGTCAGCTATTCTGTTGGTTTAGGCTGGGAAAAAAAAAAAAAAAAAAAGCCTAACAAAGCCAAGCCTGTTTTCTCACACCCTCCTTCCTCTATAAATGAAAAAATGTCTATCTACATTATGCAAAATGTAACCTGCTTTCATGAGTTAATCCCAGAAAAAAGGTAAAAGCTAGAAGGATTTGGTCCCATAAAAAATGAGTACGTTAGCCTGGGTCAGAACAAAAAGGGGGAAGAAAGTGCAGTTTGTCTCCTGGACGCCTATAACCCTTGAGGGCCATGAGCTACGGATCATGCCCACCTCCTCTCAGGGGTCCCTACTTACAATATGAATTTATCTCATCCTCGCCCAATCTCAGCTAACTGTAGAAAACAGGGTGCTGTTGTTGCTACTTGCTGTCAAGTTGGTTCTGAGTCATGGCAACCCTGTGTCCAACAGAATGAAACACTGCCCAGTTCTGCACCATCTTCACAATTGTTGGTATGCTCAAGTCCACTGTTGGGCCACTGTGTGTTTGGAGTACCTTCCAACCTAGCTCATCTTCCAGCACTGTCACGGACAGTGGTCTGTTGTGATCCATAGGACTTTCACTGGCTGAGTTTTGGAAGCAGATGCAAGGTCTTTCTACCCAGTCTGCTTTAGTCTGGAAGCCACTGGAACCTGTCCATCATGGGTGACCCTCACTGTTATTTGAAATACTGGTGGCATAGCTTCAGCATCACAGCAACATGCAAGCCACAGTAGTACAACAAAATGACAGATGGATTGTGGATGGCAGGTAGCACGCTGACATGTCCTTAGGGATTGTCAGGGAAAGGGAGAAGCTAGCCAGGTGGGGGAGGTGAGAAACTGGAGCACAGAAACACAATTCTAGTAGAAAGGGGTAGCTCTAGGGTAGCAGCTTTATATCAACAATTGCTACATCTTGTAATTTTTCAAAAGAAGTAAGACAGTAATTATCCTTAGACCTGCACAACAGGGCTCCTCCCTAGCTGAGTTTTAGATGTCCCTCTTGCCCCTCCTAGGAGCTCTGGTGGCGTAGTGCCTAAGGCATCTGAGTGCTAACCAGAAGGCTGGCGGTTCAAACCCACCAGCCATTCCTTGGAAGGAAGGTTCTGCAATCTACTTCTGTAATGATACCACCTCAGAAACCCCAGGAGGGGTGGCTATGAGTTGGGTCCGACTCGATGGTAGTGAGTTTGGTTTTTTGGTTCCTTGGCCCTCCTGACTACACTGGTGGAGACATGCCCACTCAGATCCCACAATCCCATTCTAGACCTACTTTGGAATTCCCTGCCCAAATGACCCTAAGAGAAGATCCAGGCCTGCCCACCTCTGCACCCCCAACTGTTGCTACTGCAGGACTGCCAGATAAATTATAGGTCACTCAGTTAAATTTGAATAATTTTTTTAACGTAAGTATGTCTCAACTATGAGAACCTACTCAGCGGCACCTACCAACAACAACAACGTCTCAACTATTGTATTATTTGTTATTTTTCTGAAATCCAAATTTAAGTGGGCATCTTGAATTTTTGTTTGCTGGATCTGGCAACCCTACCTCCCAGGTCTGTCTTCTTAAGAGAAGGCCCACTGTTGGCTGAGGGGTGACTACTGCAGGAAAAGGAAGGTTTGTGGATACTGAGTTTAGATTATCCACGTAAGTGCTAGAAAGCCTCTGATAGGGGTGTAAGATGAAACTGAGGATGTGATGATAAAGAAGAGTGGGATGCAGCCAGAGGCTTCTGCTTGTACTCTTATACCAGAAATGTTAGGGACAGGCCTGGGTTGGGGGGAAGATGATCTTTAAGCATAACCTCCCAATTTTTAAGTATCTGACATGTACATTTAAAGGAATTACAAATTGAAATACTGTTCAAACTATATCTGTCCTTCCCTCTGAGGTAAGGTATTTCCTGTTGTTGTTGTTAGGTGTTGTCAAGTCAGTTCCGACTCATAGCAACCCTATGGTACAACAGAACAAAACAGTGCCCGATCCTGTGCCATCCTCACAATCATTGCTGTGTTTGAGCCACTGTTACAGCCACTGTGTCAATCCAGCTCATTGAGAAGCTTCCCCTTTCCCACTGACCCTTTACTTCACCAACCATGATACCCTTC